AAATTTTAACAAGGACTTTGACGAGTTGTTCTTTCCACAACTGGGTTTTAGGAGTGGGTTATGTTGGACATGGATTGAGCTAAGGGTTAGGGTAAGAGAAGAGTTTATCGTTGGACCATTCGAATTTTCATCGTGTTGTTGACATCATCGCCACCTCCCTCGAGCTTAAACAGTACTGCCCAGGTGGGTTCCTTGCCATATCCCAGGCCTTTGTTCGGGTATGGCATGAAAGTTTGTTGAGGAAGCTAGAACATCCTTCCATTTACGTACCTTTCCTCAAATCCTTCCTAATAAACGATACTTTCAGGTAGCTCAAGGCACTTTTTCTTCTTTTATTTTTCCAGGAAAGCTCGCTTGCACCCTTGCTTAACTCCTTTAAGTTGACCTCCCGTTGCATTCCACAACACCTTAACGTGATACGCCGATGGCACGACAATCCTCTCCCCATCGATCCTGTTACTTCCATTCGCGATCTCTATCCCACAGGAATATTCTTGAATCCTAGCTTCGACAGTGGAGAATCAAGGTAAATAATCATAAATCTAAATAGTTTTCACTCTTAACCGCAAAACTGTCCCGCCTGTTTATTTTATCCCTCCAGCGAAAATATACGCTATCTTGGACTTCACTTGGGTAAAAGATTTACGTGGAATCCAAATACAGGACTATAACGAAATGACTGTAACCTTCAATATAAAATGCTGAAGAAAATACGTGACGAAAGATCAAAACTAATAGCATAACAAAAAATAAAATAAATAAATTGCTCCAATTTAATATGAACTTGAACTGTAGGGTTTGCTCCAATCTCAACCTACGCTACGTCCCAAACCTTGACAACTATAAATTTGACTCGAAACTATCCACTCATGACAATCCATTAAATCGCAACTTGTCCAGTTCAAATCTTCCTTCTAACCTTCATAAAAGACCATGACGCGCAGGCGACCATCTGATTGGGCAACTTCAGCAACTCTAGGGTCTGCAGTTCATTTCTCGCCAATTACGGCCACTTTCACTGGTGGCCGTTCAAATCAATCACGTCAGACATGTAAATGTGCGTACAATATTGTTTATATGTACATCCTTGTAAATATAACACAATTTACTTGTTACATTTTGTTTGCAGTTGTAAAATAAATATTAAAAAAAAAAGAAAAAATCGTCAAAGAAAATATTTGATCAAATCTTATAAAACGGGAAATTGGGAGGAAGAAATTCGAGGTAGAATCGTAGAAATCTCATGACTATATTATCTCCGCTTCTTTGTAAGAAAAATACGGGTCTTTTTTAAATTTTTTACTACCAATTAATACTTACTTAGATTGATTAAAAAAACGGCCATTAATTTATATATTTATGCCTGGATTTAATATAAAATCTTTTTTTTCTGTTACAGTGTCTCCCGGTTCTAAAGACAAAGAGTGATTTTTTTAAAATGAATTTTTATCGCATTGTATAATCAAATGTAGGCAACCATTGACATCGGGCATATTCATGTTATGAATTAACTACACAACAAATTACCATCGAAGGATCTGTTATTAATTGAGGTGTCAGTAAACTCTAGTGGCAATCACGGCTCATTCATTCGAATTGTTGATTTCGTGCCGGAGAAAAGAGTGGCATCAACTCAGGAGCACAATAATGTAGGACGCATTCATTTGATAATCGTGATCCTAATGTACGGTTGTCATTTGTAATTGGATCCGCCATTAACTTTGTAACGCAAAAATTCATACAAACTGGTTGTGGGTAGCGCACATTTTCGTGTCGATTATATTTGTAGATTTCTCGTTGTTATATTTTTAATTTTTTTTTAATATTGAGAATTGGTTTAAGGTACAGGATCTAATAAAGGTTAGATATGAGTCTCTTTGGCCAAATGTCGCCAGAAATGTCTTGCCTTGTGGATGGTAGTAAAGGTAATCTTTTGTTGGCTGTAAATTTAACATGTTCTTACAGCATCCAATACAGCCTGTAAAAAGAACATATACAAGGGGATGACTAATTACTGATGATGGCGTCTGACATACCTAAACAGTAAGATTGGACGGACCAGGTTGATCGGAAAGTACCAAATTACCATTTACTCACCCTGCAGAAGACATGGTCGTCTCATTTGTACCGTAGTTGTTTCAGGATTGTCAGATGATTTTCGCCATATTCAGAGAGTGGTTTGGGCCTAATATCATATTTGACCAAAACAGCGTCAGAGTTAGATTGACGATGGAGTCTGACGTATCAAAACACTGAGACAGGACGGACCTGGATGACCGAAAACGACCTAACTGCGATTCATAAAATTTTGGTCAGCGTAGTCTCGTTCTTTTCATCGTTTCATTCGTTTTGTTCACGGGCGGGTTTGTGTGTACAATCATCCCAGACCAAAACAACGAAAATAGGCAGACCAGGATGACCGGAAACGGCCAAACGTCATGTTCATATCGAAGCTCGGTCGCTTCATTAATTAATAATTTATTTTTTTCCCGTCTATTCAGCTATTTTAGGTTTGGCAAACGATTTTGGTCATATTCAGAGGCCGGTTCTATCATCCTAGAGCAAAAGAACAAGACAAGTTAGACCAGGATGACCGGAAACGCCCAACTTCGTTCAATTTAGGCCCTCTGTTTTAGGATTGTCAGATGATTTTCGCCATATTTAGAGGCCGGTTCGTGTCTATTATCATATTAGGCCAAAATAGCGAAAAAGATACGTAGACCACTAACGATGGAGTCTGACAAATCAAAAATTGAGACTGGACGGACCAGGATGATCAGAAATAACAAACTATCATTGAATCACCCGTAGTTGATGTCTGTCTTACAATAACATAACTGTTTTTGGTTTGTCAGACGATTTTCTTATATTCAGACTCCGGTTTGCATCTACTATCACATTAGGCCAAAACAGCGACAAAGATACGTAGACCACTAACGATGGTGTCTGACAAATCAAAAATTGAGACTGGACGGACCAGGATGATCAGAAATTACAAACTAACAATGAATCACCCCGCAGACGATGGCTGTTTAACAATAGCATAACTGTTTTTAGTTTGTCAGACGATTTTCTTATATTCAGAGGCCAGTTTGTGCCTATCATTTTAAACCAAAACAGCGACAGTAAGGTAGATTACTGACGATGACGTCTGAGCAGTGAGAAGGACGGATCATGATGACTAAAAACGACCGAGCTATAACAATCATACAATTTTGTCCTGCCTAGTCTCGTTGTTTTATGTTTTTTGTCAGTTCATGTAGTGGTTTGTATCTATTACCATTCTAAACCATAACAGAGATACTAGGCGGGCCAAGAGTATCGGAAAGGACCGAACTTCAAGAATTCATACAATTTTGGCCACCCTAATCTCCCTGTTTTTCGTGTTATCGTCATATTGACATGTAGGTTTGTGTCTACTATCATCCTAGACAATAACGACGAGAATAGGCAGAACCGAAAACGACCAATCTACACATCGATATCGTAGCTTGGTACATTCAGTCAATTTTGGCCCCCTTAATCTGCTATTTCAGGTTTATGAGATGCGTTTCGGCAACAAAAAAGACCACCTGCGACCACCAAGTTTGCAAGAAAAAGGCCAGCTTTGGACATGCGTATTTACTCAGCCTTTTAAGTCACAGACCAGCACTAGGTCTCTTATTTTACAAAATTCTACGCTGAACAAATTGACTTTTTTTAATGTTTCCCTAGCTTTGGCCATTTATCAGTAAATTCAAAAATTCGGCAACATGTCAATTTTTGTAATTTTTACCAAAACTTTAAATTGAACTGGAAATCATCCTTGAGCGGCGCCCTATGGCAATCGATAGGAAATTTTAATAAGCTGTCAATCGGTCAACTTCAAAGTAAGAGAAAGTAAGAATTTTCTTTTCCCTGTTTACTTTTTTGAAAGAGTCCTCGGAACGAAAGTTGTAGTGCGAAAAATTTGCGAAAACATGACGGTTCAAAATTTATGCATTCTTGAAAATCGGGAGAGAGGGAGTGATCGGTTTTATCCATGAACACTAAAAACCACGTTTTTTGACCAAAAAAAAACCGAATAACTCGAAAACGGTTGTTAAATTGGGCAAAGTTGAAGTTGGTCAATTAACAGCTTACTAAAATTTCCTATCGATTGCGACAGGGCACCGCTCCAGGACGATTTCCTGGCTCCACAGCTCAATTTGAAGTTTTGGTAAAAAGTGCAAAAATTAACATATTCCCTACTTTTTGAATTTACTGATGAATGACTAAAGCTAGGAAAGCATTTTAAAAAGCCATCTTGTTCAGCGTAAAACTTTCTAAAAAATGAGACTTACCGCAGGTCTATGACTTAAAAGCCTGAGATAATTGCATTTCCAAAGTTAGCCATTTTTTCGTGCAAAAACCTGTTGGTCGGTTTTTTTTATGGGCAGTGTATTTTGTAAGAATTCCTCCTGAGATCTGCCGCGAGATGAATCTTCCATTTTCATCATCCTGGTCCGAATAGTTTTGCTTTTTTAGTATTTCAGACACAAACACTTCTCTGAATATGACGAAAATTGCATTTGGCAGTACACAAACAGCGATAAAATTACAAATAATAAATGTATTAAATTTGTTATAAATAAATTGTTTATATACGTTTATTTTTTAAACATTAACCGCCAAATTGGCTCTATATAAATCATTTCGTTGACAGTTGTTTCCAATAAATATTTTTTCTAGAAAGGGGTGAACTCTGAGTCCTCTGGTTTGCTTTGAAGGTCGGCTGGTGTTGAAAGAGAGCCAGTTTTGAGCTGGTTAATCGAATATATTAGTTTGCGACGTGTCAAAGATTGCGAATCTCGATGTCAACAATCTCTTTTAGTGCGGGCAAAACAACAATCGACCTGTAAATTGAAATAGTTTCATTAGGAGTGCCTCGGAGCTCTTGGTGATTGGGTGGGCCGGGGGTGGTAGGCGGAGCGTCCAACTATAAAAGAAACCCCCGACGGTTCTCTGCCGTTCATTCTAAACCGAGACTTCGAGAAGGACCGCTGCCTGCTAAGTAAGTCTTCAAACTGGAAAAAAAACGCACTTTTGTTTGTAACTTTTGAAAAAAGACAGCACCCTATCTTTCCTTAACGGTTAACCATAGGTTCTTTTTGGCTTCCTTGTTTTTCTATGTCCATACTGAATTGTAAAAAAATAATTTTACCAAAGACACTTATGTCCAGATGGAAGGACCTTTTTTCCTGTTTTTCTTGGTAAATAAACTCAATTTACTCTTGGGGCAACATTAACTTACATCACCTAATATTTATTCATTTAGCCTGGTCCTAAACTCGGAAATCATTTATAAAACGTGATTTTTTCACGACTTAAATGACAAAACGTATATATCATGGATATTTATATATTAGGAAAATAATTTTGCTTAAAAGAACAGCCGGATTTTCGCTATTCCCTGTCAAATTGCACAGACGTCATAGTCAAATTCTTGTCTACATGATGATTCTTTTAATTTTTTTTTTTTTAAATTTCAACTATTTATTTTATTATTTTAATGGACGTGGCATCAATTGCGTAAATTATTGTAGCAGGACATTTAAATTTAAATTCAATTTCATTGTGACGTGGCCATAAGTATTAACTCTAATAAATTTAATGATTAAAAACTTAGAACGTTCGGTTAACAATAATAAACTATAAACGGAATATTTTATTTTTTTTTTGTAGGGTTGGATTGAAATATGTATCATGTAACTAGCAGTTTCAATAAAATTAAAAATTTGGAAAAAAATTATCAGTACTTATGTTTAAGCGAGTTCTGTATATTATATTATGATTGTGACGCATTTTATCGAATTTCAGCAAGTTTAGCAAAAAAATGGTCTTAACCAGGCACTTGCTGTAAAATTACACGGACGATAAAGTTAAATTACTGCCTACATTATGATCCTGTAAAAAATTTCTTTGCTTACTTTATTTTATTATTATCCTAATCCCATTTGTATTGGAATTTACATATATTATTGCAACATGACATTTAATATGTTGGAAGATTAAATTGAAACGAAGTGTGTGCATATTTCATGATTATTGATCTGGTTTTATATTCGATTATTAAAATGTTCGATTAATGTTCAAATATGAACAACTTATTTCCTTGCTTTTTTATTTGTGAATATTTCAAAAATATTTTATTTTGTTAACATCGTTCGAGATTGATGATGAGTATAGTATGAAGTGGGGGGTTTTTCCCAAGCACTGCAGCCTTCTGGCTTACTTTACCTAGTTTGTTTTTCTTCTAGTTCTTTAGTTCAGTTCAATTGATTCGATCCTTCTTTGGTCCTTCTTGGTCCGATCCTAAGGTCTTTAGGGCAATTTTTTCCTGGTCATCTTGGTACCTTGGTTTATATCTCTATTTTGGAGATGCTTCGGGTGGTTTCTTTCCCCTAATTGCATAATATAAAAATGGTCCATTGTTGAATAACCCAAGTTTAGCTCGTTTCTCAAATGACAGTTATGAGCCCAAGTAGCAATTTGTTTACTAATTTAGGCTGTTTAACAATTTTTGTTTCATAAGTGGCACACCTAGAGTTTTTCCATTCCTTCTTATTTTTATTCCCATTCAGTGATGAAGGAATCTATGTTTGATCTTGTTACCATAGTTATAGGCTCTGGGCACAGTTCGTTTTGCAGATTCTCCTTTGGCCAGTTTGTCAGTTTGTCATGTAAAAATTACTTTGTGTTCTGGCAACTAAGGTTTTGTTTGTTATGTTTTCCTAGGTTTTGGTTTATTTTTATGAGTGCAACCTTGTTTAAGATTTTCTATAAGTCAATTGAAATGAACTATTTCACTTGGAAACTATGCCAAAAGATTGCAGTGCTTGGAATTCCAAACTTCTATGGTTCTGAGGATCCTCACCATTATTATGTAATGTGTAGTTCGCAACGCTCTAAATTTTAACGAATGTCTTGTTATGGTGTACATCGAGCACCAAAACCATTGAAGGAACTGGGTAAGGCTTCTGTGCAAACCACCAATTAGGCAATATGGCAGGCACTTGGCCTTTCAAGGTGAAATCATGCTTTTTAAGGATTATGTCATCGACTGTTGCTGCCATTGTTTTTCCCTGATCAACTTGGTATCAATGGTTAAGCTTTCAGTGAGCGGTTTCTTCGTATTCAAAGACAATATGAGTCGCAGTTTCTTCCTCCTCGTTGCATCGACAAACGCGGTCATTGGTGAACCCATGATTTGAATTATTTTCTTAAGAACCGGAGACCAGCTTAGAGCCAAAGTTCGTTCATTTCTGCTTTAGTTTTATGTGCACCCATTTTGAGATGGAGAAGTTTAAGTTTGGTCTAGTCATCCTCAGGTTCTCGGACTATTGTTGAACTTGCAGGTCCTTCTCTGGTGAGTTTGTGTTCTAATAATCTTATCTTTTGTACTTTTTAGGGCTTTTAATAAGGATTTGTTGTCAGTAACATCTTTTAAGATTTTCTATGGTACAATGACAAAAAACAAGCTAGATTCCTCATACGTTGGGTTTGCGCGGAAACCTGACCCAGTTCCTTCACTGGTTTTTGAGCCATCTGCCATATGACTTTTTCTCCCCTGTTTGCTTCCCTTTGGAAGTTTGTTAAAACTCGGTTATTGCAAAAGATGTTTGCCAGTTCAACCAGTACCAATTTCCAAAAATGGATGTATGATTTTATGTTTATTATTCAAATCGTGAGATGCGGTCTGGATTTCACGATTTCTGAATAATTATCGTTTAACGGTCACTAATCACCACACATTTATGTTTATTGTTGTATGTCCAAAATATTTAGTCCCCATAAAATTCATTCGTTTCTGAAATCTGTATGAGTTTGTACAAATTAAATAAAGTAGGTAATAAGTTGGATTATTGATAATAAAATATATTTATATTAGTAACATATTTTTTTAATCTCCAAAGAACAACATAACGTTTTAAATTGTTATCATTAAGGGGAAAGTTTGTTCTAACGAAAATATATTCCTAGACAAGTTCGGGGTTTGGGTAACAAAACAATTAACATATACGAATAGTAAATTAAACGAAGCGTGTGCATATTTTTTTTAGCATTATTCTGTTTTTATTTGATGTTTAAACTTCACAAAACATATTAGTAATAATAATAAAATTTAATTTAATTTTTTTATTTATCCGGTTTCTCAGTCCACGATGAACTCCTGACCTCGCACAGAATTTTCCTCATAACGTCGCAGTCTTGCGCCTTCCCTTCTCCAGTTTTCGCTTCACCAGATTCTCTGCGTCATGCCTTTAGGGTTTAGTCTTTTTCTTTTTTGAAGGATCCTTTCCTTTATGTATATTTTTAGTAATAACACCTTCAGGGAGTCTTTGAACCTGCATTAGGTCGTCCAGCTCCCTCATGATTTTCCTTTTAAACGTCCTCAGAGTCTGTGCTCAGAAAGTTTAAGTGTTCGGGTTTCCGCATAGAACCAGTCGAATCAAGGGTAGATAAGAAAATCTACTTCGGTAAAACACTATTCCAACCTACTTTGAATTTAAAAAACAATATGCGGACGAGCCATTATTAGCTGCGTAAAATTTATAATGACCTGAATCCTCAAAATATACTTCAGATGTAATAACCGAACAATTTAGCGACGTAGCAAAATATTTTTTATGAAGAAATAAAATTCCTATTCCTTTTCTGCATCCTAAAACATCACTGAATACAAATATTTTGTAAAAGCCAAAAATATATTTTTTTAAACATTTTTTCCTGTAATAGCCTTACACTTTTATGTTGTCAAATATCGTCAAATTTTGATTAAAAAAAGGCGATATACAGTACACTTTGTTAGGTTTAGATATTTATAAACTACACGTGATGATATAAACCCTTCCTCAATAAATAAATTATCGTTGTATATATAGCATAAAATGTTTGGGAACTTTTTCTTTATTTCATCATATTTTACGTACTGTTGCACTGGCAAAAAAGGACAAATCCTTTTTTCAAAAATCACAAAAATGCTTATAACTCCGCTGATCTCAAGAATATTTTGAGGATTCAGGTCACTATAATTTTACGTAATGGCGTAAATATGGTTTTAGTAAATAAATTAAAATGGGCAATATGTAATAAAACATATGAGGAATTTCAATTGAATTCATCCTTCTTTTTTCACTTATACTAACTATAAAATTTAAACGTTGTTTACATAGACTTAGAGAAGAAATATTCAGTTTCCCATCCGTAGTAATAACAGAGTTATGAATTTTTAAATGGAACATCGGACACGAGGACCTGAAAAAAATTTCCTCTGGCAATTCCAGCCCAAATGTTTAATTTATAGCAATGAAAATTCGTTTATGTGCTTTAAAGAGAGTTTAGAATGAGTTCGAATTGTTTAAAAAAATGTGTTTTGACCTACTTTAATTTACAATCTTTAAATCTATTCATTTTTACAACTTTCTATCCATCTAATCTCATTTAATACAATCCTGTATATTATTTTATTACCCTAGGGAAATAGAAAAATCTATCTCTATAATAGCTTAGGAGTTTATGCACAACAAAGGGAAAACACCATATTTCCTAAATGATAGATAGAAAACTAGCCATACCTATTTTTTCGGTTCCTAGGGCCCATTGGCAATAACGCTAGAACACTTGTCTTATTTTTCGATCAAGTATCAATAAAAAAGTTTCATTAAAATCGGTGATCTGATCCTCAATTGACGATGGAATCATATCAGCCCCAATGAACTTGCTCTCGCTTATTCATTCACACAATCACACAACTACATACAAATGTACATATAAACTGTACAGCTACACAATAATATTTACAAATTAAACATGGAAAAACAATCCATTTTCCTTAATAATCGGAACAAGGGATCCAACAACTTACTCTCGTGTCATGGGCTGTCTTTTCGAGTTTAATGGGTTTTATATCGGGTTTAATGCCTACTCGTCCCTCTACAAGGGGGACACCTTGCTTGAAAAGGTGTCCTCGTGTGTCAGTCGGGTATGGCCTATCCTTAATCGGGTGAGCACGATCTCTTCCTTTCGTTTCAGACTCTCAGAAGGCCATCGTTCAATCGTGCTTTTGACATTCAAAAGCTTCTCGGACGATCCGTGCGATAATGATTAAATGTTGTGCTGTCACTTTTGTACTTTTTTCACGTATTTTCTTTAATTAAGCTTCGCATAATCATTTTTTGAAACAGTCGTAATGAAGCTAGATTTATATTTCATTCCTCCATTTCCTAAAAGATTAAAAATAGGCTTTCGATTTTAAACGGATCGGTCTATACAAAACAATAAAAAATATTTTAATGAAACTGTATTTTTAGTGGCCTCTGTCTCTAGATCATAATAAATAATAAGATGAAAAAATTAATTAATAAAACGACATATTGAAGCAACAATAACAACAAAAGTATTATCAATTTATGATAATATAGTTTTTTGTATTTTTCAGTTTTTACAAATCAGTAATATATCTTTTATTTATAAACAATATAAATATTCAGAAATCGTGAGATGCGGTCTGGTGTGATGTAAGTTTCAGAAAAACATTTTCTTTATCGTGCCAACGTTTCGATCTTTATTGAGATCATCTTCAGGGCCTGGGATTTACAAACATTGTTTACATTTAACAAATACATTTAGGATGTGGAAAAGTGAATTTATACAATGCAGAATATATTTTTTATATTCAATCAAAGTATTTCTACTCACTTAAAGTGTTTGACTTCTGTGTAATTTTGCCATTCTTGCGTGTCGTGTTGAGAGTGCCGGTGAGATTTTGCTGTTGTATGTTTACAAATATAACAAGGAATTTACAAATATAACGCAAGAATGACACAATTACACAGAAGACAAACACTTTGAGTGAGTAGAAATACTTTGATTGAATATAAAAAATATATTTTGCATTGTATAAATTCACTTTTTCACATCCTAAATGTATTTGTTAAACGTAAACAATGTTTGTAAATCCCAGGCCCTGAAGATGATCTCAATAAAGATCGAAACGTTGGCACGATAAAGAAAATGTTTTTCTGAAACCTACATCACACCAGACCGCATCTCACGGTTTCTGAATAATTATCGATTAACGGTCACTGATCACCACATATTTCTACACGAGAAGAACGAAAAACAATATAAAACTATTTTTTCTTTTATGCAGGCTTTAAATTTATAGGTATTTGGACGTAACCAGCCTTAATTCTGTGAAAGTTATTGTTTTTCATATTTGTTTCTTCTCAATATCTCAAGAAAACATATATTGAAACGGTTAATTTTGTTTCAGGTTCAGCAGAACTGTCGAATATACCAGAGGTATGGCTTTTATAAATATTACCAGTTAAGCATCTTTGGGCTATTGATTTTTGCACTCTGTGCTTTGGTGGCTGCTTGGGTATCTGACAATATAGCAATATTCTGTTCTCATTCCAAATAAATATATAAGCATATAAATACATAAACACATAAATGTATACAACATGAGCTCCATTTGGGACTCATACTTTTTACATACTAACAGGATATGCTGAAAACTCAGTTGCTCAATTTGACTATGGTTTTACTTCGAATCTTTTCAAGTACAAATATCTTGTCGAATCCTAAGCTGCGAAGAAGGATCTCTGTCATTCTTCTTTCTGAAACTTTGGTGTGCTTTTTTTCTGAGTCATTGGAAATAAAGAACGACATTTTATATAATAATGTCCCACTTGGACCGCATCTATTACATTTTTCCACCTTGTGAAAGCTTCTATTTTAAAATAATTTATCACCTTGCCCTCGGTTATTGGAATTTCTAAGGAGAGGCGTCTTTTAATAATTGCCTCCTTGGCTGATTCATTCACTCTTTCTTTTTATTTCCTTCCTCCGTGACCTTTGACCCAGCATATTGCGCGTTCAAAATTAATTCATGTATCTGTTCTTCGATTCAAATTCAAATCTGTAGGATGCTAAAAAATGCTTGTTTATGCTAAAATTGCGAATTTTGGCTATGATACTAAGGATGCCAGTTCATAAGCCAATTTTTTTAAAGAAGTTATTTCACATATTTTTCTAATGCTTTCCAAATGGCTACTTCACCTGTGAATAAGTTGCATAAAGCTGGAAGTTGCCCATTAGTTCGATCTGAATTTTGAAAAGATCACTTTTGTCCCTATAAAAACGCTTTCCAACTGTGATAAATCCATGGGAATTTAAAAAATAATAATTCACTCAGCTTTGTAAAAATTGCTAAATTGCAAAGTCCTAATGCTGTTTCTTTAATTAAAAATAATCTATGTTTTTTCTTTAGTTAATTTTTTTAAATTTAACGAGGAAATGTCTTGTTGGCGTTTAGGTTAACACCTTGTGCAGTTGTAGATAATTTTAATCCTGGCAACGAATCAATATATACGAGGTACAATTATTTTAACACATGTATTTTCAAAGTAAATTAATCTGTTCCACCAGTGGCACTTTTGCAGGTTAAACCGCTCCTATAAGGGGATAATTTTATTGATCAATAGTAGATCTGATCGATCGATTAACTGCTAGCTCTGAATTTTTGGCTTGTATCTCTTCCACACGTGGGCATTTATGATTATTAAATTATCAAATTAAATACACTTTCATAATATAGGAACGATAACCAAATCTTTGATGGGACTGAAGAGTCCTCGGTTTAGGCCCGACCCGGTGAGTAAGGTAAAATTACGTACAATATAAACCTATGAGCGGGAGTCAAGAATTTTCGATATACTGCCGTGACCTCACCCCTGCAACTACGCTAAAATCATGCACAACTTAGCCCTACGATTGGGTGGTCGGCTAAGGGTTTTCATCTTGCCTCCTTCATTCACATCAATAAATATATTTACAAAGAATAAGAATAACGCATTTACAAGTTAACATAATTGGTTCGACATGCCTGGACGATATTCCACGGGTGTCTAACAGACTAAGTCGTCCAGATAAATAAATACATTCACACTATCGGGTTTTTGATATTACGCCAGTGACTCCCCTAAACGCTGCACGCGCATGTGTGTGTGTGTGTGTGTGTGCAGCGTTTAGGGGAGTAGTAAGCAGGCGGATCCGGCGAATCGGCGTCGATATACGGACGCTGGTTTAAATGAAAAATTTCTTCGAGGGGACGCCGAATTGATAGGAAGATATATATATATTCCGCACAGACAATTTGGTGTGTCTGCGGTCCATATTACACACAACACTCAAACATGCTCCCAGTTTCACGCTAATAAATTTATTCGCTCAAATTAAGGATTTTATTTTAACTAACGTACGAAATGTCTATCTTTATGCAACCAGATACATTTATCTGTTCAGGTATCGAATTTATTCTTACTATAATGGCTAACTGCTTGAAGTATTTTTAAAAAAATAGTACATAATAGTAATACAAATACATAAGGACATATGCAGAACGGAAAATTCAAATGTCGCGGCTACTTTGTTATACCCAACTCAACATTCGTGAATTATCGATTGCCTTTAAAGTTCAAATTCTCATCCCTGGAAGGAAATTGGAATTTTATCGCGGGATTTACGATCAAATCGTTAAAATCTATTTGAAATCGTGTAAAATTTGAATCAAAACCTTAACTCAAGTAAACAGTCAGATAATTTGTTATTCCCGATGTTCCAAATAATATAATAAAAATTCAAATAGGTCGTTCGATGCGAAACGGCCCATAACCTGGAACCGTTTAATGGTCAGTAACAGGTGGAAGGATTAAAACGTACAGTGTCCAGACGGGAAGGATCGATAGGATGCTATCGTTAAAACCAAACAAGCCTCGTTCCGGAATACATTCGAGAAATAATAAATAAAACCAAACTCCGTTTTTAATACTGTACGAAGCGTCGAACCTTGGGAAAGTTTGGAATAAAACGGCAAGGGAAAAAGCTGCATCGGCTAGCGCGTGCTAAGTGTGGTCAGGGGAGGTCTGGTCCAGAGTGAGATAGCAGATCTCTCCTCACCGGATACAGAACATCTTGATAATTTCCATCCCCTTATCGCATGTCACATTCAAAAGGCAAAACAACACTTAGCATTTCTTTTCAGCATGTGTGGGCCGGCGGAATTGCTTTCTTGCACTAATAGCAACTGATTCGACAAGAACTTGATTCATTGGCTTATATCAATTACAGAGATTAATTGATTCATCGGCACGATTTATCAGGACATTCCCTTTGTTAAAATCCCCTAATAAAATAAGCACACAACATTTATTTATTACAGTTTATAGAACTGAAAGTTTAACAAATTTGCTATCCGATTATTGTGGGTTGTTAGAGATTAGAAAAATTTGTAAATTCTTCTTAAAATAAAATTAAAGTTGTGATGTTAATTAGTCTATCAATCTAAATCACTTATTATCATATAGTTTTGACATTTGTCAAGAAATATAGAAAGTTTCATAAAACCAGAACCTTGGCAATGACACTGTTGCCAATGGGAAATATATAACTGACCTTTTTTTTAAACATTTATTTATCCACTGGTTTGTCAATACTCAAAATTAACCCAAGACTGCACACATCAGTGCATATTATATTCACTAATTTCGTGGTCCGCTTGACCAATTAATACATTACAATTAATTAAGGTTTTTAGTTGAGATGAAAAAAAGTTAATGGCACGAGCGGGATTCGAACCCACGATCTTCGGCTAGATACGCCGCTGCTCTACCACTTGAGCTATCGTGACCTCGATCCACTCGGACATCAACTCCCCATCTCAACCCCACCTTATGAGTTTTCCCTCCTTTTGCCATTTTTCAAATGTCGTGTAATCGGATTGGATTCTCGACGACAAATGAAATGGCCACGGAGAGCTTTAGTGAAGTGTACTTCATTTTAATTCATTAAATTCACTAATTTCGTGGTCCGCTTGACCAATTAATACATTACAATTAATTAAGGTTTTGAGTTGAGATGAAACTACGATCTAGAATACACGACATTTGAAAAATGGCAAAAAGGAGGGAAAACTAATAAGGTGGGGTTGAGATAGGAAGTTGATGTCCGAGTGGATCGAGGTCACGATAGCTCAAGTGGTAGAGCAGCGGCGTATCTAGCCGAAGATCGTGGGTTCGAATCCCGCTCGTGCCATTAACTTTTTTCATGTCAACTAAAAGCCTTAATTAATTGTAGTGCATATTATCTTAAACCTGAAGTAAATGTAAAGATGCTTAACTTACATCAATAAAAGTCCATGCTCTGATAATCTACCTTCATTATTATTTAAATTTTCTACTGCTGTATTAGTCCAACCACTAATTTATCTTTTCAATTTTTTTGCTCTTCAACTGAAAGCCTATTCTCAGAGTGTCTTAGACCAATATCACGTATAGCCAAAGATTTGAGGTACTAAATTACAGAGTTACCATTCCAACCAACGCACTACACAAACCGACTTGGATTTACTACATGGGGATGTGCAGCTCAGCCAAAGCTTCCCAGTCCTGTTGTTCAATTTTTCAATCCAAGGACATATTACCACTATGCTCTTCCCGACTCCATTCAGCACTGCGATTACCACCTCTATACCGACGACTTCCAAATTTATAAGTCCTTCCATCCCGCCCATCTACTTTTGGAAGATCTGAATTTCATAAACGAATGGGTACATAAAAACAACATAGAATTAAATGCTAGAAAGCCCAAAATCATAAGGATCTTGACACCTGACACCTTAAATACCTTCCCCATCCCTCCTTTCACCATCAACAACCAACCTACCTTTTTCTGCTCTAATGAGATAAACCTGTAACACCGAGGTTCGACCAAAACCTTTCCTAGAAATCACTCATTTTCCAAATTTTCCTACGCTGTATTGGACCCCTTATTCCACCGGTCCTGACTCCTTCTACCTTTCACCATTCCTAAACTCCTTGTCGCTTCCCTCATCTTTCCCTTTCGACTATAGCTGTGTCCTTATGGTTTCGGAGGAACAAGAAGAGCGACCGAAAAGACTGATGAATTGTTGTGCCAGATTTATTTTCACCACCTCCCTCCAAATGTCTAGAGACTCACACCTGTATTCAGATCTTTCCTGGCATTAAACTCCTTCCGTAAAAAGTATTTCCTATGCTCCTTCCTTTACCAATCTATAAACTTTCGTCGACCTCACTATATTTTCAAGCAACTTCAGTGCAAATCCTCTATCCATTCTCTTAACACCCGCTCTTCTCCCAGTGACCTGTACCTTCCTCGTCAAAAAACCTCAACATTCGAAAAATCCTTCCTAGTTTGAGCCACAAATCTCAGGAATTCTCTTCCTTTGCCAATGCGCAAATCTGCATTCCTCACCAATT